CTAACTTACAGGATAACTATACTTTAATATAGTTATCCTTTATGTTACCCTCACCCTAGCACTCCCCCACAAAGTCTTACACTCATCTATCAATGCTCCTCTGCTAGATACGTGCTGTACAGCCCACGAGGAGATGCACAGCCAGTGCTACAGATTCTGGTGGCTGGGACACGGCTGGATATATTGCAGTAGACTTCACAGTATGGATTCCACACTAGTGTGGACAGGTCAGTATAATACTTGGTAGGGGAGCTGGGAGCCTTACTCCAGCCAAAGTGCTTTTTTAGTGTCTGTGTCAATATTGGGTTCATTTTTCCTCACATCCTGTAATGCCCGTACAAACAATTGGGTGTATAATTACATCACTAGGAAAGGAAAGCATTAACAGCAATAAAAAGGCTGCCAAAATAAAACAAGTTGACTGGAGTTGGGATTTAGGGTGCCCTTTATGGCCAAACGTTTTTGGACACTTGACTATGGCCATCACATTTATATGTGCTTGTTGTTCAGCCTGTTCCAAAACCATGGGCATCAATGTGGAGTTTCCACTCCTCGGTAGCTAAAACAGCCTCCACCCTCCTGGCAATTTCCAAGATTTTGGGGTATGTGTGTGGGAGAGTGTGCCCATTCAACCTAAATCACATTTGTGGTGAGGTCAGCTACTGATGAGATGATTGGATGAGAAGATATGGCTTACAATCCATGTTCCAGTTCATCCTGAAGGTCTTCAGAAGGGTTTATGTTAGGACACTGTGCAGGCAATTCAAGTTCCTCAAAACCAGGCTCATAAAGATGGTGTCTTCATGGATCAGACTTTGTGCACAGTAGCACAGTCTTGTGGGACAGAAAAGGGCCTTACCGAAAATGTTGCCAAAATTGGAAGCACACAGTTCTCTAAACTGTCTTCGAATTAAGGTGTTTGCATATATTTTAGCAATTTAGAGGGTGATTTACTAACCTAAACACACGCATTCCTGGTGGACAGCCACACGTAGTCCCCCACCTTGTAGGCCGGGGGTCGGCGACGTCGGAGGTCGTAATAGTTCTTCTGACGCTCCTGTGCGTGCTGGATGTTAGATTTGATGGCCAGAAGATGACGCTGCAGCGACTCCAAGTAGTCGTCAGGGATTATTGGAACGAACAAGATCCGTGGGAAGCTGAACGGGATGGAACCCTTAGTTGGCCTGAAAAGGAGTGCGCTTGGTGGAAGAGTTAACGGAGTTGTTATGGGAAAACTCTGCTAGGGGGAGCAGATCCATCCAATCATCCTGGAGGTAGGTGCAATAGCAGCGAATGAACTGCTCCAGACACTGGTTGGCTCTCTCGGTCTGGCCATTCGTTTGTGGATGGAAGGCACTGGAGAGTCGGCGTTCGACCCCGAGCTTTAGGCAGAGAGCCTTCCAGAACTTGGACACGAATTGAGATCCACGGTAGGCGTGCCCATCTTGTGAATTCTGCTATGAAATTCTCCACGGTCCGTTTTCCCTGCCGGATGCTTCGGATATCGGTCTCTGCGGTTATCTGGTGACAGGGGTCTTCGTATAACTGGGACATTGCGGCGATTAGGCGAGTTGAGTCTGGTGGGGTTGAGGCGAGGGAACGCTGGAATTATCAGCGTCCTTCCACGATCAACGGAAAGACGCCGATCAATTACAGTGACTCGGCTTTATGCCGAGAGCTGCGTCTTGGAGGGGCGGAGCTTCCCGGCGCGCCTGCGCCCGACCTAGACGGCCCTGAGGTGTGGGATGAAGGAGGACCGCGGCGCGCCTGTGCGAGGCAACGACGGAGACTTTCCCAAGACGTCACCGCGTTCCCACGGAGAGCTGGGGCTATCGATCCCCGCCGCGCCTGCGCATGACTGCGACGGCCCCCCGCACCTGGTTTCTGCAGTGCTCGCCTATTACACGCACACACCAGGTGCGTGTGATTTTCACACAGCAAAACGTATTTATCAACCAAAAAATCTCTAAAAGCATATTTCCACTAATGCCATATATGGAAAAATCATGCACATGATGCATATATAATGCTGCTTCACAGTTTAGACAAAAATGGTTAGCTCATGCATTTACATTCCTGCATTCATCAACGCAAGCAACACAACATAGAGCTAATTTACACAACATCACCTTGCAATTCATGCTTGGCTTTGCACAACACACCTGCTGGGTGTGTACACACTACAAAGGTGTTTAGATTCCACCCATAGATCATGCTGGGAGGGAACACACTACAGAGGTGTATACATGTTCATGGTGTGTTTATAAGGTTAGTAAATCAACCCCTTAGTATCTATAGCAGGGGTAGCCAAATCCCATTAGGTATTGCAAGACTCTGACAGCCACAGGCATGAATTCCAGAGTCAGATGCATGATGGGATTTGGAGTTTCACTGACTTTTTGTACCACAGTGAAAGGGTTGCCATATAATAATACATACAATATTATTATTTTTCATTAAAATACATGCCTAATGTGCTTCTAAAACCCTTTTTTTTTGTATTGCAGACTTTCCTCAGTATGCATCATAAACTCTTTGTTGTTTTTGACTGATCATGTGCAGTTTAGAGCAAAATGCTTCTTGCATTGACTAAAGCAATATTCATTAGGAGTACACAGCATGTTCATGCGTCAGAAAGCAGTTACATGACCAATATGTGGAAAAAGCTGGCTCAGGCAAAGCAACAGAGACCATTGATATATACTCTCATCTCAGCCTGGACAAACCCACCCCATCGTGCTTGACATGTTCCATGATAACTGGATCTGAGATCCATGGCGATGTAGGCCACACATTTCATTTAGCTTTTCTATGTTAGTTACTTCCCAGAATGTGTATACACATTAAGGTACTTACCGATGATGACTACCCTTAAGATGTATCTGCAATAGGGTGCATTTAAATCACAGTTGCTCAAGACTGTCCTCAGGACCCACCAATAGTTTATTTGTGTATTTCCTCAATGCAGGTGTATTCATTGTTGATTGAACTAAATAGCTAGTTTTCCTCTGTCTTGTGAGGAGAACTACAAGCCATGCACTGTTGGTGAGGACAGGTTTGAGAACCTATGTTCTAAATAATGTATAACATGTGTGTAGCTGTTCTGGATTATCTGGACAATGAGATTAAGGTTTAAAAATCCAAAAGTTATGTTGTTAGCTAGGAGTTTCCTCAGTGCACAATATGTGGCACCCTGTCAATGCTGCAGATGGTTCAGCTGAAACCTAAGCTCCATATGTTGCCAATACATATTCTCCCACTTCAAACAAGTGTGCGAATGTGGAGTGCATGAGTTCCCACGCAGGAACGGTGCTATCAGCACGGGGCTGAGCTGGGGCAGTGCGAACAGACGCAAAGCAGACCTTGCTCTTCAGTTGGGCTATTTCAGGGCACCTGCAATTATCAATAGCAAGGAAGTGCTGGGTGAAGAGCAATGTTTGGGGGATACAGGACTATGTTATGTAAAGCAATAGTGATGTACAGAATACAACTTCATTGTTTGGAATGAAATACAAGTCTATATTATTTTTAAAATAATAATTAAATAAATGTAATCATTATAATTAAAGCAAATGTAGCTGTATTTGTGCACTGATAAAATAATGTTATCAGGCAATGTGCCTTATCCTGGCTTGTCAAATCATTTTAATTAGCATTTTTCATTGTAGTGCTGTTTATTTGCTGCTTGACTATACAACTTATACCAAGTCCAATCATATACCTTTTTCAGTGCTATTTCCATATTGGACAATATTTACAATTATCATTATATCATTTATATTAACAATAAGCATTATATTAGCGAATTCCATGTTCACTTTGATACCTGACCTGTGTATCTAACTTTATCATGCCCTTGTCAACAGTGACACATTTCAATAAACTCAATAACAATATTTTTGTTACATTGAAATATATATTATTCACAACTTTTTCCATTATGAGACATTAACTTGAAAGCATTAAGCAATTCCAGTTATATTTGCACTGTTTACTTCAAGTGACTCTTCCCTACAAAACAGGGTTATTTAACTTTCCACTCCCAAGTATTACATGTCAAGTGCTCCTTCACTCCCCTTATACTCCGTTTGACCATCAGGAGCAAGGAAAGGCATCTGTGTGTATTCCCTATTGGCTGAGGACTCTCTCCCAGCCCATACATCTCAGCACTGGCCAATCACCATGCACCAGCACTGTCACATGGGAGATGGAAAGTGAGTCACATGCTCTCACATACCTAGAAGTACCAGATATTTTCTCTGCTGCCAGCCATTGAATAGAGAGGTGAGGGAGCACATGAAAGGTGATTATGTGCTGCTGATAAGGTGGAGGGCTATATATTTTAACTTAAAATCAAAGAAAATGTATTTATTCATATGAAAATTATATTCTAGGAAAAAATAGCAACTTTCTTTTTCCAGTATTTAGACTAAGCAGCTTGCAGCTACTGAAATGTATCTATTTAAATTTTGTATTTTCACTGTATTACACTGTAGTTTTAATTTTACAGAGCAGTCAGGTGTAAAGAGGAACTTTAGGTATCCCTTACATTTCAGATGGATTACACCCTCAATGTAAAAAAAAATTAAGGCAACCTGGGGCCCTAATTCCTTCGATTAACATTGATAAGGATTGATATAGGCACAAAAAATCTCCCCATTTGCATTGTCTGTACAGGCATGACCTGTTCTATCAGACACCAACTGCCTAGAAGTGTATCCTTCCTTGTGAAGTGAAAGGCTCAGCTTTGACCAATTTGGCTATCCCCCTGGAATATTGCGTGAAGGTTGTAGCTGGGCTCCCTGGGCACCCATTGGGTCCTAGGCTTCTCCCTAGATTATCACATACCTGTACATACACTTACATACATACACACAAATAACAGAGCAAAAACAAAACTTATTATGGACCAGGTTTAACAATATTATATTTTGAACTTAGAATTTTGACTGTCTTCATTCTGTAATTCTTCATTCTAATGTCATTTGTTTCTTTGTTAGATCTGTCCATGCCATACAGCGATGTCCCGGGAGTGAAAAAATACCCTTTACTCTTCAATGTATCTATTCCCTACCATGAAGCAATAGTAATGGCTGAGCTTAAGCTTTACATACTGGTACCAAGAGACAGGGTTCCATATGATGGAGTGGGCACAAAAGTCACAATTTATGAGATACGTGGGAGTGAAGATACAAGGAATGCTGTGGAACTGGCTTCTAGACTGGTTTACAAAGCAAGCAGTGAGTGGGAGATGTTTGATATTACTGAGGCTGTCCAAGGTTGGAGCAGGTCAGAATTTATCACCCAAATGCTGGAGGTACATTTACAAAATCCAGACATTGACCTAGAAGATGCTGGAGAAGCAAAACTGGACGTAGATGTAAAACCAGAAAGTAAGCACGAACCATTGCTTGTGATTTTTTCAGATGATCAGAGTAGTGAAAACAAGGAGGAAAAGGAGGAACTGAATGAGATGATCAACCATGAGCAAGCTTTAGACCAAGTGAATGAAGAATTTGGTGGAATAGGTAACATGCCCAGTGAGGAGTCCTTGTTGCAGATGAGGTCTAACATTATTTATGATGCCAGTTCCCGCATTCGAAGAAATGCAAAGGGTAATGCCTGCAGGAAGACCTCGCTCTACATTGACTTCAAGGAAATTGGATGGGACTCCTGGATCATTGCCCCAGCAGGATATGAAGCCTATGAATGTCGAGGGGTGTGCTCATATCCCTTAACAGAAAATGTCACACCCACCAAACATGCTATTGTGCAAACTCTGATCCACATGAAGAACTCTCAGAAAGCATCCAAAGCTTGTTGTGTTGCAACAAAACTGGATCCCATATCCATACTGTATATGGATGCAGGAGTAGTCACTTACAAGTTCAAATATGAGGGCATGGTTGTGTCAGAATGTGGGTGTAGATAGTAGACTTTTTTGTGGAGCCGGTGTCTTGTAAATTTGTACATTTTGTATTTCCTTATTTAAAGAGTTTATTTAAGACTGTGTGTACAGATAATATATGTTTTATGACATGCTTACCATGGAATGCAAAGCAAAGAGACATAGTACAAACTGTTTATTATGAGCTGGCTAATGTCCTTTTGCATTGCACTGCATGGTAATCATGGCTTTGTAAATTTATCACCATTGGTCACTTCATCTCTAAAGGGGTTTAACTGTAATTTAAATTCTAATGAGCCACATAGCAAGTGATAACCAGACTTATTTTATACACCTAAACATTTCTGTAGTAGCCCACAGGAGTTTGTCACCAAAAATTGAGGCACAAGTCATATTGAGTACCCACAGCTCCTTTTATTGGCTATACAGGGCAAAAACTAGGGTAACATTAAATACACAGTCCAACTCTAGTTGGTGTAATATTCTTCAATACGGATTAAAGAGCTCTTATTAAATGAAAGTCTAAATCAGTAGTTGCCAACTTGTGGCTTTTTGAACACATGTGATCATTGCTTAACTGTGTTGTGAACAGAAAACTTTCAGCAACTATATCTTCTCCTAAATATATCCTAGAAGAACGAAGCTAAGCAGAGGTTGCCTAATTAAAAAATGTGGTTTCATAGTGTGGTTCACATTTTTTTATTGAATGGTGTTCGTGAGTTGATTTTTTGTTCTAAAAATCAAAATGGGTTTTTTGTTCTAAATAGAGGATATGTGTATTGACACAATGACCAGGGTTTTACATGTTCTTTCTTCATTGTAATCCTCACTAAAGTACTTAGTATTTAGAAGTGTGCAGTTTCACATAGTGGACTGGATATAAATTTGCAAATTAAACCTCCAAAAGGAAAAATTACTTGTTGGCAAATGTTGACGGGCATTTCCTCAAAATATATTTTTCTTCTGTAGAGGTCTATTTTCATGCATATCTGTGACTCAGTGAGAACTAAGTTATTGCACCTGGTATTTGTTATAACTGAGGTGTGCATGATCCTATAGAGTTATATTGCACTTCTCTTATAAAACATGGCAAAATACTGGATGCAAATACTAACAGTATGAACAACTTTAAATCAGAGCAATCACACTAAAGGACTGGATTGCACCCAAGATTTACCTAGCAGCGTAACTTAACATGACAATGGTATATAATGTTCTTGGTCCAAAAATATGCAATATAATTTTTTGTTAGCTGCCATCTGTCCCACTGTTGTGAAAATAATTCTCCACCTATACAAAGAACGCAGCTAGCAAAATATATAGTTGCCATAAACTCTTGATATGCAGCCTTCTTGATATGTGTGACTTTTAATTGGTAAGAAATTACAAATTTTCAATTGGGTATACTGTGACATATTGCCATTGGCAGTGTTGGGTGTGAAATAGCGGCACAAAATATATAGAGTTTGAAGCATAGCATATGTTCTCTTCTAGAATTATCAAGTATAATATTATCTATAATATTGTGTCTTGTACTTAAAGCTGAACTCCAGGCAAGTAGATAAATACACATCTGATATACACTATATTACCAAAAGTTTGGGACACCCCTCCAAATCATTGGATTCAGGTGTTCTGTGAAATTTCCTTGCTACTAAATATTCCACAGTCAACTGTTAGTGGCATTGCAAGTGGAAGCAACTGGGAACAACAGCAACTCAGCCACGAAATTGTAGACCACGCAAAATGACAGAGCAGGGTCAGCGCATGCTGAAGCGCATAGTGCGCAGAAGTCCTCAACTGTCTGCAAAGTCAATATCTACAGACCTCCAAACTTTGTGTGACCTTCAGATTGGCACAACAACAGTACGTAAAGTGCTTCATGGAATGAATTTGCATGGCCGAGCAGCTGCATCCAAGCCTTACATCACCAAGTGCAATGCAAAGAGTCGGATGCAGTCGTGTAAAGCACGCCGCCACTGGACTCTAGAGAAGTGGAGACATGTTCTCTGGAGTGACGAATCACGCTTCTCTGTCTGGCAATCCGATGGACATGTCTGGGTTTGGCGGTTGCTAAGAGAATGGTGCTTGCCTGACTGCATTGTGCCAAGTGTAAAGTTTGGTGGAGGGGGGATTATGGTGTGGGGTTGTTTTTCAGGGGTTGGGCTTTTCCCCTTAGTTCCAGTGAAGGGAACTCTTAAGGCATCAGCATACCAAGACAATTTGGACAATTTCATGCTCCTAACTTTGTGGGAACAGTTTGGGGATGGCCCCTTCCTGTTCTAACATGACTGCGCAACAGTGCAGAAAGCAATGTCCATAAAGACATGGATGAGCGAGTTTGGGGTGGAGGAACTTGACTGGCCTGCACAGAGTCCTGACCTCAACCCGATAGAACACCTTTGGGATGAATTAGAGCGGAGAGTGCGAGCCAGGCCTTCTCCTCCAACATCAGTACCTGACCTCACAAATGCGCTTCTGGAAGAATGTTCAAACATTCCCATAGACACACTCCTAAACCTTGTGGATTCCTTCCCAGAAGAGTTGAAGCTGTTATAGCTGAAAAGGGTGGGCCAACTCAATATTGCACCCTACGCACTAAGACTGGGATGCCATTAAAGTTTATGCCAGGGAAAATTTAAAAGTGATAGATGGGAAACCCATTGATCCTGATGTCAGGGTGTCTTTCCCCTACATGGCGCTCAAAAATGATTTGCTGTATCAAGAGGTAAAGCCAAGGGAGAGTATGGGGGAACAGCTAGTAGTCACGAAACCGTACTGCAGGATGGTATTAAATCTTGCTCATGGTCATATAATGGGTGGACACCTGGTTACATAGTTACATAGTATGGGGGAACAGCTAGTAGTCAAGAAACCGTACTGCAGGATGGTATTAAATCTTGCTCATGGTCATATAATGGGTGGACACCTGGTTATAGAGAAAACTAAGGAGAGAATAACCCAGAGATTCTTTTGGCCTGGTTTACATGCAGATGTAAAGGAATACTTTGAGTATTGTCCAGAGTGTCAGTATTCTGCACCATTGCCCCATTTCAACAGTCCACTTTATATATAATGGGTGGACACCTGGGTATGGAGAAAACTAAGGAGAGAACAACTCAGAGATTCTTTTGGCTTGGTTTACATGCGGATGCAAAGGAATACTGTGAGTCTTGTCCAGAGTGTCAGTATTCTGCACCATTGCCCCGATTTTGCAGTCCACTGGTACCTTTGTCAATTATTGAAGTGCCCTTTGAAAGAATTGGCATGGACCTGGTGGGGCCAGTGGTTAAGTCTGCCCAGGGGGCACCAGCATATACTGGTAATTCTGGACTATGCTACATGGTATCCTGAAGCCATTCCATTGTGCAAAACCTCAGCTAAGACTATTGCCAAGGAATTTGTTCCAGTATTCAGTCCCGTGGGTATTCTGAAGGAACTTTTAACGGATCAGGGCACGCCATTTATGTCCAGAGTTACTAATGAATTATGTAAGCTGCTTAATATCTTACACTTACACACCTCTGTCTACCACCCTCAAATTGATGGGCTGGTGGAAAGATTTAATAAGATGCATTATATGGACATTCTATGCCCTGGTTCTGTCTATTTGCCACTTACAATTCTAGTCCAGGTGCAGTTCTGGGCCCTGTTGGTTTATGCTCATAGAATTTACACAAGCCGTATTCTACCTTTTATACCTTTTCTATTTTCTGGGTCTAAGCATCAAACCCAGAAAGAGAGACAACTGAAAAGAAAAGAGGGGCATAGAGATTTGGTTCCAAAAAAGGGAAGTCCTTCGAGTAAGGGTTTCCGGTAAATGCACATGTCTCTCTCTTTTGATGAATGTCAAGGGAAAGGAGAGAGTACTCATTCTGTCTTGGCTCTCTAATAAACCCCCCCAAAGTTAACCAGGAAAGTAGATATATTTGGGTGAGGTCCAGATGAGTGTAAACATCTATGAGATATGGGGAATCCAGCAGTACTGAGGAAAAAAGTTGGCACTTGCTTTTGACATTTATAAAGAAAGCATGTACCGCCACAGTCACTGAAAGTTCAACAGCATGCAATGAGACTAGAACAGACAACAGGGGTATTTTTAAAGAGGGTGGGTGGATTCCACACAAACCCCTCACACTCTGCCCTCATAGCCCTCATGGTCTGTTGTTGTGACTTTTATTACTTTTTTTTGTAAAGAATACAGTTATAAACTGTAGATGCATGTACAGTATATGTGTATTTTCTGTTATGGACATAAAGTTGCTGAAATATGTATTTCGAAGCAGGAAAGAAATGCTTTATAATTACAGTGTTTCTGGCTTTCTGCTTTTTCTCACATGCAGGTTAATGAATCATGCCACTTCATCTGCCTTCCCTGACAGCTGTCAAAGCCATTTGCAAAGAACATTTCTATGGCAAAAAGCAGTGATGACCTGTTTATAAAAAGTGCACCAATTTATTTTTTTCCTCAGGTCTGCCTGATCAGATATTCCCCTTGTAAGTTTTGTTGTCAGTAAACAAATGTTTAGTCTACGCAGCTTTTCTGTTTCTTTGGAAAATAGGCTTAAAATTACTTGCTGAATCAGCTGCACAAATAAACACTGTCAGAGGCACGAATGCTGACAACCCTAATTGCCTTTGGTATATGCCTTAGTGTCCTGCAGGCTGGATAAAAGGCAGGCAGACTTTCTCGTCTCTCATATAATTAACAGAATCATTATTAAGAAAGTGGGTTGTCAGAAGAATGAGCAATTAAGATGAAATAAAATATCTACTGATACAGAAAATAGCCAGGGAGTCATCAGCACTGGGTCACTGTGCCCGTAGGATTGCTGACTGCACTGAAGTTGTGCATGGATAGATATCTGTAATCAAAATTAATAAGTGTAAATGTAATTCATCAATGATAAAGGAGACTCCGTGTCTGCATATCTGGCGAATTATAACTAAGTTCTGATAGCAACTTATATTAAATTTATATTTTTGTTAGGATGGTGCTATATAAATCCTGTATTATTATTTTTTTTTTTAGAATATGGAGGTAGAGGATGTTAAAATCAACTGAAAAGTCCCAGGCAGGTGCAGAGCTCAGGCAATGTGCTTCCTCACGCCGCCATAGCCAAGCCACGCCCCCCATAAATCCTGTATTATAATAATAATAGACACTAACAGTTTGCACAGTGCTTTACAACATATGGGGAGACAATACAATACCATTCAGAAGGATTAGAAGGACCCTGATTGTGAGAGCTTACAATCTACAAGGAGAGGCAAGTGATACAGAAAGTAATAACTGTGAGGGATAAGCTGATTGAAGGAGTAGATTTACAGTTTTTAAAAAGAGGTTGAA